GATTGAAGAAGTTATAGTTGCCTGTGAGTATGATGCCCACCATGAGGAACACCTGTAACACATACACACGCTGACATCTCAACACACTATGACATCACACACACAGATGACATTCACGTACACCGCTGACATCACACAACAACAGATGACATCACGTACACGCTACATCACACACACACACAGATGACATCAACGTACACGCTACAATCACACACACACACAGCATGACATCACGTCACACGCTGACATCAACACCACACAGTGATCACAACCTGCCATCACAGATGACATCACACACACAGATGGACATCACACAGCTGAATCACATACACCAGATGGACATCACAGATACACGCTGAACATCACACACGACACAGATGACATCACTACACCGCAATGACATCATGTACACGCTGACATCTCACATAACATAAATGGACATCAACGATACATGCTGAGCATCTCAACACAGTATGCGACATCACGTAGCACGCTGACATCACACACACAGATGACATCACGTACACGCTGACATCACACACACACAGATGACATCACGTACACGCTGACATCACACACACATATGACATCACACACATAGATGACATCAACGTACACAGATGAATACGCTGTCATCACACACACAGATGACATCTCACACACAGATGACATCACACACACAGATGACATCACACACACACAGATGACATCACGTTCACGCTGACAATCACACATACAACAAGAATTGACATCACACACACACAGATGCATCCACACACACACGCGACAGACATTAGAGCCAGTCAGAAATGATAGCACGGAGCTGTGGGCGGTGTGAGCGACCCATGAAACTCTGTTACTGGAGATGACCAGATATGAGAGCATCGTTACCAAGATACTGACATATTAGTACAGCACAGACTGCAATCATGGGTTACAACGTTGGCATCCATGACCCACAATGAAGTTTAAATACCGCACACGCACACGCCACAACGCACACGCACACGCACACGCACACGCACACACACACAATGGATCTACCCACGCGCCCACAAACACTCGTATATACAAACACCCGCGCACGCACGCACGGTGCATGCACAACGCCACGCACACACCCAACCAACCCACACACGCGCACACACACACGCATGCATGTATACAACGCCGTCCACAAACCACTCGTAAGTACACAAAACACCGCGCACGCATTGCACGCAAGCACGCCGCACGCACACACCCACCAACACACACACGATGCATGTACACACCGCGGTCCACAAACACTCTTAATAACACCAAAACACCGCCGCACGCACGGCACGCATGCACACCGCGCCACGCACACACCCACCAACACACACGCGCACACACACACGATGCATGTACACACGCGTCCACAAACACTCGTATACACAAACACCCGCGCGACGCAACAGCACGCACGCACGCATGCACGTCAACACACACAGCCACCGCGCCACGACAACACACGATGCATTTACACATAGCGTCCACAAACACTCAGTATCACAAACACGCGCACGCGCGACGCCATGACCAGCAACACACACACACACGCATGACCCTCACACATACACACGCGATACACACAACCACAAACACTCGCGGATTCACTCAGGCGTTCCTCCGCACAAAACCATACGGACGCTTTGTAACCCTATCCTCCTGGGTTTGGGTTACATTATTGTATCTAGGAGTCCGCGGCAAAATGAGGGAGTCCACAGTCTGAAGTTCGAAATTAAAAATATTAACAACGCATGTGCTTATTTTGAAGATTCATGCGGTTGCACGTCTGCCAAATTTTCCTTGGACATTTGCTGAAAAAATACTGTAATTCCATGAGGCCGTGCTCTGGAAGGAACTGTAGACTTAGACTAGTATGGCAGAATTTTCAGGGAGTCAAACGGACTCCTGCATATGTCAAATCACGGAGTCCAGCAGTAAATCAGGGAGTATTTGACTCCAGACTCCCGTTAATTTCGCACCCTGCATTAAGATGCTCGTTTAGCCTTACTCTATTCTTGTTTAATTAAATGTTATGATGTTATTCATTTGCTGTATTTGACAGGGTGAGCGTGTCTGCTTGTTCATTTATCTTGGCATGATTCCTATTGACGTAGCTTGGCTAGAATGTTGCGATGGATAGTGACTGTATTTGACAATTTTTTTCGTAATCGAATTCACTTTTAACTCGCTCACTGTTTCAGTTTACAGTCAATTTTAATAGGAGTAATGAATCCGCTCTTATGTTAGTGGTAGGCATAGTGTAGAGCTGTACGTCCCTGCTCTGTGATCATCAAGATAACATGAGATTAAATTAACTTTGTCAGTTTTAATTACTTCACTTTCTGTTCACCATGTATTCCTGTAGCACTAATGTGATCAATCTACTGCATGCCAACACTGTGTAAAAATCATACCACATTTGTCATATCAAGGCCATCTTAAAATTATATGTTTGCTGTCTCGACCCGACCCACGAAATAGCCGCGACCCAAATTTTTTTGTTGCATTTTGGGTTCCATTTATTTTTGTTTTTTATCATTTTTCTTCATAGTGTATTTAAGACTTGAAACACAAATGCAATGGTGGCAAACATGAGCGACGGCTTAACATAACTATTATGCTCACAAAAAGACCTACCTACATACCACTAAAAAATCATGGCCGTCAGGGGACAGCAGTACATAGAAATTTTTTCTAAGTTATGGGCCTAATCATATTTCGTGTAATCTCTATCTTGATTTGAAAATCCAAGGCACTTATTTCATACAAGTATCTATGATATGATCATTGTGTCCACCTTATACACCACCCCAAAGCAGAGTAAATTAATTGGATCACTTGGGCAAACAGGAATTTTTTATTGGAAGTTGCTGTTCAAGGAGAAATCGTATTTTCAACGTGTCACATATTTTACTCATCTGTCAGGAGTGATTGACAGGGCTCTTCTAGTCAATTTTCTTTTTCTTCCTTTGTGTATTTAGCGGGAATTTCTGAGAAAACGCTGGTTAGTAAGAAACTGCCACAAGCTTGACAATTTGGCGTGCACGCATCAAAAATGCATAAACTGGTCTAGCTTTTGCAACGTAGCAACAGTATCCAAGGCAGGCATATTGTGAAACGTGATGTTGCTTAATGTCCTCCTACTGCTGAAACCACACTGGAGCCTGATATGTATTATGGAAAACTAATTATGGGTGCAGTGATTGCACTGTGCAGTAGTACACGTAGGAACCTGTGGTGTGGGGTACAGTACATGTAGGAACCTGTGGTGTGGGGTACAGTACATGTAGGAACCTGTGGTGTGGGGTACAGTACATGTAGGAACCTGTGGTGTGAGGTACAGTACATAACAGGAACTGGGGTGTTGGCGGTACGAGTACATGTAGGGAACTGTGGTTGGTGCTACAGTACATGCCAGGTTAATCTTGTGCTGACGGTGTACAGCTAAGGTAGGCGCAAACCGGCGACGTGTGAGGTACAGTACATGGTGTGCGGGTCGTCGCCATGCAGGAACCCCTGTGTGTCGGAGTATCGTGACATGTGTTAGGAACCGTGTGGTGTGAGTACAGTACATGTGAGGAACCTGGTCGGCGTGTTCGTACCTATACGAGGTGAGTTTCAAGAACCCTACATGACACAGCTGTTGCTGTGTGGGTTCGTATTTGACCGTTGGTTGGCAATGAATTCGGACTGGCGTGATATTAACTTGCCGCGATGCGACCGTGCGGGGGCTAACCGCGTCTGTGTGTGCACTGTGCAGCGGATGGACGGATGGGTCATGTAAGATTCATGAATCGGATCACCGCGTCATCATGAATATCGCGTCGCTCGCGCTCCGTCGTAACGTATACCCCCGCCGCTTCGGCTGCCCCCAGGTTTGCAAAGAACCTCTCGCCAGACAAGATACAGCTGAGCACACTCAAGGGGGTCGGCGATCTACAGAACCTGGAATTGAACGAGCAAGTGCTGATGGATGTGATGGACCTGCCAACGTGGCTGAGAGTGACGAGAGCTCACTGTAACAAGGTCCACGTGAAGGTAGGTGCAATATTATGTAGATGTCGCTCGGCGGACGTTCGTGCGATGCTATGTATCCCTGCTGGACATCTCGAATAACCCCTCCCCCCCCCCCCCCCGGTTAAAAATATTCACGAGAGGCAAAAAAACGAATCGATTTTCATTATGCTAAAACGTATTGATATCGCGTCTTTTTCGCAAATTGGCAACTTCTGCACACTCTAACGAGGGATGATTAATTGCTCGAATTTGTTGTCACTCGTTCAGCACATTTATGTAGGCAAAAGCCTAATGAGTGCATGATTCAGATTGCGAAGTGCATTTCCTGCAGGGAATGAATGCAGGTCTCGCATCTTCCCCTCGCTTGTTCTTGTGGCGGGCAGTGCTTAAGTACTACAGTACTAGCGCGTCATGATCAGTAGAGAAGCATGCTTTCATGTGAACAACAAAGGAGGTGGGAATGAACACGATAGTCTGAGATATAAAAAACAACCGAATCGACTCGAGGACCATCCAAAGTAGACTTGGATATATTGCAGCAGAAGCAGCCACAGCAGCAGCAGCAGCAGCAGCAGTGGGCAGCAGCAGCAGTAGTGGGCAGCAGCAGCAGTGGGCAGCAGCAGCAGCAGTAATAGAAGGTAAAAAATACTATAAAAGCATACCAGTGGTTCCTCCACAACCGATACTCGGGGTAACCCACTACGACCTTTATGGACAGGTGACCGCACTATAGAGGTGGTCTCGCTGACGCAGGGAAAAAAATATTATTTATTTTTCGGGGGCTACTTTTCAAGCTCGCGTGCATGAAAATAGCAATCTAAAATTTGGTTTGCATTGAACTCTATGCAAATTTACGGGGGCTATTTTTGGCATTTCCGGGGCTAAATCGCCCCGAGCCCCCGTGTATTTTTTTCACTGCGCTGACGCGATCGTGACTGCCTATCTTGCAGGAGGAGCGCAGCAGAACGGCCAACGTTCTCATCAAGCAAGCTCTCGACTACCTGAGGTTCCACGTCAACCAGCTGACAGCTAGCGCCCTCGTGTGGGCGCTCTTCCTCTCGACCGTCGTCGTCATGCTGGTGCGGCCGGGCCGACGGCTGTAAACCACGATGAGGCTACGTGGCGCCCCCTGCCTGACGCTCGGTGGCGCCCCCTGCCTGATGCTCGGTGGCGCCCCCTGCCTGATGCTCGGTGGCGCCCCCTGCCTGATGCTCGGTGGCGCCCCCTGCCTGATGCTCGGTGACGCCCCCTGCCTGATGCTCGGTGGCGCCCCCTGCCTGACGCTCGGTGGCGCCCCCTGCCTGATGCTCGGTGACGCCCCCTGCCTGATGCT